ACAGTTGCATGGTCCCAGATCATGCAGATTCAGACTTAAATTCCAGGATGCTTTGCATCTGGTGTTGCAGTTTCAAGGACATTTCTGCTTGGATACTGCTGTTTTAATCCTTGCAAACTACAACGCCCACAAGTCTTGTCTTTGGTGATAAGGGGTGTGTAACTGGAGGTTCTGCTTTTAGGATGAACTTGCACAGAAAATGACTGCAGTTTATTTATAATTACACTAGGCACTTCTCACGCTCCTGTGAGATGAAGAATTCAAACTATTTTAATACAAACTCAGTTAGGTGTCTTAAGATATCAAGGACAAAGACTCCATAGAGATCCCACCACTGACTGGTGAAATGCAGCCACTTATGGGGTAAAACAAAATATAGCCCCTCAAAATATAGCAACATTGCACAGCAGTTTTGGACGCAAAGTCCATGGTTCAATAACACAGAGCTTTTAGACTTTGAGTTTGGGATAGAATATTCTTGGGGCTGGTAAAATATTATATTCTGCTATAAACTCACAATAGAAAAGGCGTCTATTGGAAAATGGTGACTACGCAAGTCTGTAATTACAGTTCTGACTTGGCTTACTTTTACATATTTTGGGTGTTTGCTAATAGGAGAAAATGGGAAGGGAAACTCAGGTATGATTTGTTTTGTGGGGCTTTTTTCTTTTTTTTCCTTTCCCCTGGCTTGTTTCAGATTGCTGCTGTTCTACTCAGCTGGAATTTTAAAAATGTTGAAAAGCTGATTCTTGACCCAGACATGTATCCCAGTTATTTTGCCCATGCCTGCTTTGTGCAACACATTCAGCGTCACATTCAACGTGCTGGCTGTCTGCCATCCAGCTCAGATTTCCTCAGGGAACCTCCATTAACTTCTGGAACTCATCCATTCCCCATAAATTTACTTGTTCTAGATTGCACCCAAGTGGTTTTTCTTTCTCTAAATGGAGATTTGCAGAGATATCAAAGGCAGAACAAAAAAGGATTCTCCTCCTTGAAAGAGGTTTTTCAAAGTAATTTTCCCTCCTCTTGGTTGTTTCATAGATTTTTTTTTAGGGTCGGAAGGGACCTTAGTATCTCATCGAGTCTGACCCCCTGCCCTGGGCAGGAAAGAGTGCTGGGGTCAGACAACCTCAGGTAGGTGCTTGTCCAGTCTCCTCTTAAAAGATCCCCAAGGTAGGGGAGAGCACCACCTCCCCTGGAAACCCATTCCAGATTTTGATGCCCTAACTGTAAAGAAGTTCTTCCTGATGTCTAACCTGAATCTGCTCTTTGTCAGTTTGTGGCCATTGTTTCTAGCTATCCCAAGGGGCGCCCTGGTAAACAGAGCATCTCCTGTTCCTTGCTTCCATTTTTCATTATAGGTACATACACGTTTCCTTAGTAGTAAATACAGAAGGGTAATGAGAACTCTAGATTATTTGTGTGCCATATGTTTAATTACAAGACACACTCATTACCAGTAACTCCCAAATAGGTCTTTTTTTGCCGCCCATTTGAATGGAAAGTCCTTCAGTGCCATGGGAATAACCAGGCATGCTGATTTGTTAGCATTTATAGTTTCATAGTTTCTAGGGTCGGAAGGGACCTGAGTAGATCATCTAGTCCGACCCCCTGCCATGGCAGGAAAGAGTACTGGGGTCAAACGACCCCAGCAAGGTGTTCATCTAACCTCCTCTTAAAAACCCCCAGGGTAGGAGCCTGCACCACTTCTCTTGGAAGTTGGTTCCAGATCCTAGCCGCCCTGTCCGTTAAGTAGAGCCTCCTGATATCTAGCCTAAATCTACCCTCTGCCAGCTTGTGACCGTTATTCCTGGTCACTCCTGGCAGTGCTCAGGGGAACAGGGACTCCCCCAATGCCTGTTGATCCCCCCTGACTAGTTTATAACAGGCCACTAGATCCCCCCTTGAAACCCAGAGTCTTTGCTGAGTTCTGGATTCAGCAAAGCGCTTCAGTTCATTCTGAGCTATGAGCTACGTAAGAACCACTAATTTCAGCCTCTCATTGATCATGTGCCACCCTGTATAGACTCCAAAGTCACTGGGATTTAAGTGTCCCTTCTGTGCTTCAGGACCAAAGTACTAGAGCTAGTGTGGACATGTGCAGTGTGTGGGACATGAACCTTTTCTTCATGAAAGCTTTTCTTGAACTGTCAGATGCAGCTACTGAGGGGCCGGGTGCTTCTTGTTTTCAGTAAGTGCTAGTTTTGGAACTGCGTGGCTTACCGTCTGATCAGCATTAGCTGGAAAATGGAACAATACCCAATGGCCTTACCTGAGGACATAGGTAAAGATCATCCAGGCTTTGGAGGCCTTGGTGGGATTAGAGGAAGATTGGCCCAGTTTCTGACATGGCAGGTTATTTTTAAGCCTGTGGCATTTTCAAGGCCTCTGGAATTAGGTGAGCACCCAGTTCGTAGTTACCAAGGGCCATGGAGACCAAGTGGGTCGCTCTTTCCCATATGGTCCAAACCTGGCAGGCACTCTGGCATCTGCTGTTGGCTCAGTGCATTGCTTGCTCTGTAGTCCTCGTGCCTTGCTGTGAGCAGAGGCCGAGGAGCAAACACTGTGGTGGTACATGATTGGAGAGCACCTGGCAGGAGGAGAGGAGAGGTTTCCCATCAGCAGCACCTCTAACCTGTGGGAGGAATGGATGCAGAAACATTCATATTTTGGGGTGGGGAGTGCTCTCTCCTGCTTCCCAAAGCTGGGGGCTTTTTCATCAGAGAGAAGGATGTGACAGTTGGAAAATGGGTCTGGAAGAGCTGTGGGCCTTTGGAGAAGCAAGGATGGGCCTGTCCCTAGTTCTAGCTAAAACCCCATGGGGAAAACCTTGTTTTGGGGCTGTTCTGAGTTTACTGCATAGCTGCCTGTCCAGCTTCTCCTGGGGGGACTGAAAAAGGGCACAACGCTGAGCAGTTTGGGGTAAGTGCAGTAATTTCCTCTGCTGTTTGGCTTTCCAGCTGATTAATAGTATTTTTCCATCTGCCTCCTATCAATGGCATGAGGTGATGAAAACCTTGTTGGCTTTAATGGCTGCCACAATAAAAGCGCTTCCGAGTCTTGACTCAAAAGCCAAATATGCTTTCCGGTGTCCTGTTGTGCAGTTGTTTTAATTCAGTCCCTTTTAGCACTCGTTCTAGTAACATGTAACCCAGCCCTGGGCTCTGGGGGGCATTTTATAAGGCTGAAGTCCAGCATGGCCCAGAAACCAAGATCCAGACTGAGAAGCTTTTGTGAAATTAGTATTTGGACAGGACTTTTACAGCTCACACTCCTTTCTACTTGGCAGTGAGGCAGGTCGAGTTTACTTAGCAGGAGTTACTAAGGCCTGTTACCTTAGCGCCAGCGTGTGGGCTGTGTCTGATCCCTGTGTAGTGAGTGAAAGTAAATAGCTGGGGAAGCAAAGGGAGTGTTTGACTTCCTGCTGGGTGGCGGATAAGGGGTGCCATAAATGGATCCTGTGCAACCTGCCAAGGGAAGAAAGTCCTGCCTAAGGTCGCTAGCTCTCATTCCCGTCTGTCTATCAGCCTGGCCTCTGTTGGCCTCTTGATGATGTGTTCTGAACAGAAATCCAACAGGCAAAGTGTTAGCTGGGCTGGTGTGGTATTATTTACAGTGCAATTGCATCTTGCTGCCCCAGTCCACCAGGGCCGCTGTGCAAGATGCTGTACAAAACATACGGGATTCCCTGCAAATTGCTTACCCTGTAAGTAACATCTGCTAGTGACTGGCCAGATTCCAAACTGGGAGGCAGTAGGGCTGGAAGCACACAAAGGATTCAAATAAAATGACAAGTCTTACTTCTGCTTCTGCTCACTGCTGTCGACACTTAGCCACTTGCTCTGGTAAGGTCACTTAGCCAGATGGATGTCTCTGGCCTGTGAAATGAAATTGCCTTGTTGCTATACAGCCCTGTCAAAAGCCTTGAGTTCAATCGCTGGTGAGCAAGGCTCTACTTCGGGGCCTTCAGAAAGGCTGGGTGGAGCTGTCCTTTGACTTGCAGGTGCCTTTTAATCAGGTTTTAAATGAAGTAATCGAAAGGTCTTGGGGAAGAAACTGGCCTTTTCTCTTTGCCTGGTACATGTACCTGCCACAGGGTTTATCAGGAGAGAAATGGTGGTAATGGGCATTAAAGTCAGATGAAGTTCCTCCTCCTGGGATCAGTTTTGAAGGGTAAGAAGCAGAGCTAGGTGCAGACTGTTTTTAATACGATTTGGTCACCTCTGTGGCCTCTGCCAGCCTCTTTTAATGTCTAGGCAGCTTTGCAGTGGTGGGTGGCTCTCTGGGGTTTTTTGGTCTGTTGGTGCCACGGGTGGTCCACAAGCCCACTACAGTGACACAAAATAAGAAACAGAAAAGCACTGATTGCTAACAGTGTGTCCAGGAACGCTAGTGCTGCTGGGCCATGGACCATGAGTAACCCTTTCAAGCCCGGAGATGATCGTGCTGGCTCAAGTCAGAGGCAAGATGACAGCGCAGTAGGGGGGAAGCATGTTTTGCGTCTGCCCTCGCCTTGTCCACCTGATAAAAGGGAAACAGCAATCTCCTGCCAGGGACCTCCAGGCTCATTTCACAGGGCCTGACGAGAAGGGTCTTGGCACAGGTTTGGTAGGGAAAGAGCTGATTTAGTCCCTGGTTATCTCATGTCCTCTCAAAGACTGAGGTCTCAGAAGAGCTAAGTGTCAGAAGTTCCTGTTCATGATGGGAGCTCCGGGTGCTCGACAGGGCTGACATACTGTTTCTCTGCCTGCCTCAGTTTCAGTGTGCTAGCAAAGTGTCATGGCTTATACTCCTATGACCGCATAAAGAGGATAACAGCCTACTATTGCCAGCCATCATTCTTTGAGCTGATAGCGGCATGTATGTTGGTGCTGAAGATACCAAGGTTGGTCCCTGCTAGTGACCTCTGGTTGGGTGGCATTGCCCAACCTTCTTATGGACACAGCAGCCCCCTTACCATCTCATTATGACCGGTTGCTTTTCCTTTCCCATTTCAGATCGACAAGTATCTCTACCACATGCGGCTTTCGGATGAGACTATCCAGGAGGTGGCTGAACGGTTCCGAAAGGAGATGGAGAAAGGCCTGGGAGCAGACACCAACCCCACGGCCTCAGTAAAGATGTTGCCTACATTTGTCAGATCCACCCCAGATGGGACAGGTAAAGTGTTGTAGAGAAATACTCACGCTCTGTGCATTGTTTTCGTCCTCACAGCCACCTGCCTTCTCCTGCCTCTTCTTTATTTTTCTTTGGCCTCCCCGCCCCGGTCCCTCCTGTTCTCAAGTCCGTGGCTGCCAGTAGATGAACTGGCCTCTGAGTGACTCAGAGAAACATTTAACAAGAAGTGGCCCCTTAAAGCCAGAACTTCCTGTGATGTTTCCCAGAACTCCTCCTGCAAGCTAGGAAAGCCCAGATGCCATGTCGATATTACAGGGCACGGCACAGGATGGCTGGAACGAGATCATTTGGTGAGAGGATTTCATGGAATAGCATTGTTTGGCCCAAACTAAAGGTAAAGCAGCTTGTTTCTCTCAACTAGCTGCAGTCTTGGAGAAGCACGAGTTTGTGTTGTGATGTGTAAGGTTTGCCTAAGAGTCAGGGCTGGCAAGAAGTCAGCTGGGGAGTGTGCTCTGACAGCTCACAGAGTCCTGGAAAAAACGTGCTCACAGCCTGGAAAGGCAAGTCAAGGGATTTCTGAGCAATGAACCAACTTCAGACTTGCCTGCTTCCTTACAGACAGACACCAGCGCTGCCTGTACATGAGAGGTAGGTATGTACGTAGGCTCATAAATCCAAGCTAGGTTGGAGGAAAAGTACTCTGTCCACCCTCTGCAGATCCAGTGTGGGTGGGTCTCTGCACAAAGAAGTCGGCACCGAGTGAGCACTATCTACCTGATGTAGCTCCTGCTCTATGTCCGGTTTTCTCCTGACATCCATTCAGTAAGTTTACCCTGCCATGAAATCAGTTTAACAGGGCAGTAGAATTAAGAAGACAATCTCTTTAAGAAGTTGTACACGTATGTGTATACTCTCTTATATAGTGCTTTTCACCAATAAGCTCAAAGGCCTTCGCATAGAAAGTCAGCATCTATGCCCCCATTTTATAGCAGGAGGTGTAGAGAAGGGAAGGGACTTGTCCAAGATTGCCCAGTGTGGCAGTAACAGAGCCCAGTCTCCTGACTCCCAGTCTGGTGCTCCATGCATTTCCAGGAACACAGGTTTCAGATGACTGTAGCTCTAAGCTGCTTCATGGTGATATGGTATAGCATTTGCTTGCATTCTTTTGACATTACCTCTTTTTAGAAGTTAGTAGGCTGATCCCACCAAGTGCTACATACCCTTTTCTCCCAGGAGAGGCATAAAAGTCTCCCCTACCCCATACTGTCTGGCCGTGTCTTGGTATATGACATGAATGTAGAAAACCAAAGGCATTTCTTAACCAATTTATCATTTAATTTGCATGGTTTCCTCCCCTTTGTTGGATAGATTAAGGACAGGGAGGAATCCCATTGTTAGAAGCAAAGTTGCTTGGGGCAGGGACTCTGTCATAAGCCCTTGAAGGCTCCGGGGAAGATCAGAGCCTAGTCATGCACAAAGGTACCATAATAATGATAGCAGTAAAGCACGGGCATTATTAACATTTCTAGGTGGGTGAGTGGGGAGACACTGGTATAGGATTTAGTGGCTTGAGTTAATAGATTGCTGGAGTGGCCTCAGTGCAGGGATTTGTGGCCTTAAGTCAGGGAATCACAAGTGTGCAATGTAACTCCTTATGTCTCTTGCACAAGGAGAGAGACGCCTGGCAAACATTTCCTTGCAGGCTGCCACTGGTGCAGCTCTGCTGTGTGTAGAAATAGTGAGGAGTCTAGGGCAGGTAGATTGCTGGGGTATTATATGCTGCATTGATTAGACATGCTCAAAGCAGGGCAGATGGCATTGCGGTTTGAATACTGGAAGCAGCTTGGTCCCACTCTGCTGCCACTTGCGGAAGTGCAGGCAGAGCAAAGGAAGGGAATGGGTTGGAGGCTGTCAAGAGAGGACTTCAGGAAGGGGAGGAAGGATCTGGCAGGCTTTTGGGAAGATTGAACTTGGCTCTAAGAAGGTGCAGTGCCTGTGGGCTTGACTGGACTGCTCCTTTGGCCACTAGCTGGGCACAGAAAGCCTGATGACCTTCCTAGCTGGCTCCTGACTGGAAATAGCTTGAGCAGTGAGGAGTTGGTTAGGAGGAGGGGTTGAATTGCCAAAGAGCCTAGTCTTCCCTTCCCTTCCTGTCCCCAGCTGCCCCGCTGCTGCTCTGTATTTCTGCCTGTTGCTTCCAGCAATGCCTAAAAGCAAGCAGGTGCCATCTCCCACCCCAAGTCGTGTCTCCCTGCCAAATTGCAGGCCAAGGGCCCAGCCACTTCCTCCATGGACAGAAGGTCTGGTCTGAAGGCAGGTTCCCTGCGCCAGCCAAGCACAGGGAAGCTGCAGTGTCCCTGGAAGGAGTAAGGTGCCTCCTCTGCTGTCTCTGTGGCTTTCTTTCCTACTGGAGGAGGCAGGTTAACTTGGCCAGTGCATGTGGCCTTAGAGGCAAGCCTGGCTTGAGGAGCAGAAGAGGCAGCCTGTGGTTTTTCTCTTCTCTTAAGCCTTGGAGCTCACCCACAACATTAACCTTTTACCCTCAAAGTGTCAACAGTGGTTGTAGATGCAAGGGCAAATTTCTGCAGCACATCTACCAAGGTCATGTTCACAGCAGGTGCGCTGCTTAGGGGCTTGGCCGGTCCCTCATACAACCCTTTGCAGCACTGACCCTAGACACCCTCACTCTGGGAGCCAGTTTGTATTCACTGCTTCCTCTGCAGATCATATCTTGCACATGTGACTTCTTCCCTCCTCCCTCACCCCAACCTCAGCTGGAGTTGGCCTCATGCCTGGGGGCAGGAATTAGATTGAAATCTGTTTAAATATTCATGTTTAATATATATCTTTTTTATTAGGATTCAGTACATTTTGCCCTTGGGGATGTTGGAGGACTCCAGCCCAAGTTTATGTGTGCACGTCTGCATGTTCACATGCATGTGCCTTGAGCTGAAGTCAGACCTTGTGTGCAGGGTAGGCAGGCATCCCCAGTCCATCACAGTGTGAGAAGGAGGCTGGGTGGCTGGTACCTACAGCACAGTTGGCTGGTTTCCATCACCATTGCAGCAGCAGGCCTGGGAATGACTGTATTTTTGCTTCTTAATGATAGTTTGCCAAACTCCAGACCTCAGCAATGAGAGGGTTTTTTTAAAAGAAATCCTTTCAGTCGGGTGGTGCCAAGCAGCACAAGCACACAGCAGTCGGGGTTGTGTCTATGCAGCGTGTCATGCGGGAAAACCCTGATGTAACAATTCCTGGAACAACAGCTTGAGGAGGGCCTGCTCTGCAAGGGTTGGAAATTGGGAATCTTCAGCTCTCAGGGGAATTAAAAGGGTGACGTTTCCCCAGTGCAAAGCAAGATGGCATTTTGAGTTGCTTGCAGCTTCTCTGTCTCTGCCTCTGATTCTGTGGGGAGTCTTAGGACAAGCAGGGACAGGGTAGGCGAACTCTAGGATGCACCTAGGTGTTTTGCCAGGCTGCAGCAGGGTGCCAGTGCTTTTGGGATGGTGTTCAGAGCGATTGTGACTGTTGCATGAGACAGAAACTCCACGTTCTTGCCCGTGAGCCAGATCTCCTGGGGTTCTTTGTTCTTTTTCAGGGTCCGGTGACTTGGTGCACCTCCCGCTGCCTGGTTGGCTAAATTCCTGCTGCTGCTTCTATGGCATGCTTTAAGTGAACAGCTGTTGTGCTTCATCCTGGAGAGGAGCATTGAGCCAGACACTACTTGCTGCTGTTAATGCCTAGCAACAGCTACTCTGGATTCCCTGAGTCAGTCTTGGGGGTCCATTTGGAGGAGAAACAACTGGTAAAAATGTAAGGTCATGACTAGAAGAGCTGCTTGGACAGACCACACACGGCAGTCTGAGCCAAAACACTGCCCCGTAGTGCTGTGGCTATCAGCTCTGCTAGTAGTACCATGTGGTGTAGGGTGGCAGCTGTGTGGGTGTGTGTTGTCTTAATGATAAATGTTTCCAGGCTTGGATTGATACCATTTGTGCAGATAATTCTTGCTGCGGAAGGAAAGCTGCATGTGAGGGCAGGGATGGAGCCACAGAAACAGAGGTACAGCTTGGAAATTCCAGGATTTCCACCTCTTCCTTTTTTACCCCTTTTCCTTCAGGTCCTTGTTCTGCCTTAGGGCACTGGGTAATCAGTCTGGATCGTCTTCAGTGATCTGCCAGTGCCCATCCAAACCTTTCTGGCTCAAGGAGGCAGACCTCTGGGAGAACCAGCTGATCCTGGAAGACCCCTTCAGCTTTGGGCCTTGTAATGGGAAATGGTGCCATAGCCTAGAAGGGGCCACAAGCTTTTCCTGAACCCAGTGCTTCTGACTGAGCTTCTTAAACAATCAAGACCTGAATTGTCATCTGGGCAGCAGATAACATGTAATCAAACCCTGCAAGTTGGTTGCTTCTCTGCCTTGAAGAAAAACCTCTGATCAGGGAGCCTGGGTCTTGCTTGTGCAGGGCAGAGAGTTTTTTCTGATCTAACAGGTGTTTCCATTTCTCAGCTGCTTTGTAGGGGAGATTTTCCAGATAGGCCACAGCCCTTGAAAAGGGCCTATGTAGCCCGCCTGGACCTCTTGGAGCCTACTTAAAAAAACCACGTTCTGGAGACAACATGTGTGCTTCTGTGTAGACAAGACTTGCTGAGTGTCCTGCAGCACTCCTCAGCTGTAGTTCCCCAGAGGTATTACACAGCCCAGGAAGTGACAGGAACTGCATTTTTCAGATGAGGCGACTGAGGCACAGGGTTGGGAGTAGACTCTTGACTACAGCTGTCTGGTCCTCCATCAGGACCTGCCCTAAAGGAGTGGGATCAGACACTGAGCTGGAAATCACACGGGGCTGTTGTTTTCCTTGTTCAGGCTAGATCTTTCATCAAGGAGAGTCTTCCGTGCTCCTGTAGGTAATAGGTCACTTTTGCAACCACCCTTTTGCTCCAGACACCGGATGACTAGTTTCCGAGTTATGCAGATCTGACTTGGGTCATGTGCAGTGGAATGAACAGCTGCTTTGTGCTCAGAAATGGGACCTGATGAG